CGGTCTGCCGGATAAAAGCTCACCCCACTTTCACCTTAAACGGGGGAGGCTGCCTTGTTGACTGCTTCAACCAGAACGTCGTATTGAAGCCAAACGGCTGTGGAACGATGTAAATCCCCCATGGTTTTCTGGTGAATGTGGATCACATATCTCTTCATCAGGCACTTTCACACAAAATTAAGGCCTTCTTGACCGCAGGTGACTGCTTTCCGCATCCGTGGACGGCAGAGACGGTCAGCATTTCAGGCAAGCTTTTGAGTCTGTCCTACCGTCAGGTCGTGAAGGGCGAACGCATTAAATATTAATTACTGGCGGCTAAAGCCTTCCCTGTCCCTGCTTCCAGTTCCCACTCGTCTTGGCCACCTAAACTTAAATTATTAAAGTGATACTCGATTCCTGACAGAAGAATTGCCAAATATGATCGTCCTAGGTCGCATAAGATGATGGAGATTATGGTCGACTTTTGCCCACAATGACACGAGGGGCCCTCAGGATATCGTTGAAGTCCACCCGGCTCTACCTTCCGAAAGTTATCCTCATATAAGCTGGACTGCAGTCAGACCCTAATATTGGATAGGTCTGGCTTGCCTTCAAAGTCTGAAAAGTCGAGGGAGAGGGATTCGTACATTTTCTTTTATAAAAGTACGATGTGAATGCACTTGCTCGCTTAATCGACAATCCCACCATACAATATGATTTAGAAGAGGCCTAGTTCGCCATAAACGTCACATCTATCCTGCAGCCCACCGGCACCCGTGAATGCTTAGCGGGATAGTCACTTGTCGTCATGATACTCACGACCCAGTTTCGAATCCCGTTGGGGGAGCTAAATAGATCTGGATGGGGTCAAAAGTGCAGTCCACCCTGGACAAGAAGGCATTTTTGGGGTGCAAGATCAGCTTTTAGCTCACCTAAAAGGAACTTGGGTGACCAAGATTCTATTAATCGCGTTAAAACCGATCTACATAAAAAAATAGTTTATCATGTCGATTGCAATGGCAAATATGATTCAAGAGCGAGATGCCTGGTCTGCCATTAATGTCATATATGCCCTCTGGGCTCCGCTGACATCTTTGGCTGAGTAGCAACGTCGTTACAGTACTCTTGGCCCACTATCAAATTCCTTTACGGGTGCTGATGAGAGACGGTGAGGAGAGGTCAAGGCTGCAATCGAGTCCTCTCGGGAGGCAAGGATAAGTGAACTTCAATGGCATCGAGAAGGCTATTCATTTCTTTGTTGGATAAATCTCAAGTATCAGCACTTGACTCATCTTAAATGACCAATTAAATTAAGCGGACCGGCTCTATTTGCTAAAAGTTGTCACAATAATGAACTTCATAGGTATAGTAATATGCTGGTCTTATAAATATCTTCTGAACGTGTTATTATGGTGATATATATATTTCGTGTATTGAAGGAATTCATGAATAGATCTCCTCGGAAGTAGGCAGTCAATATGTGTTATTCCGTAATCATTTGCTGTTACTATCCCATTCAGTTGCTTACGAAGGGAGGAGGTCTCATGGACTCGTTTAAACAATCGAATAGGTCGCATTTCATGTGAGTATTTCTTGAAATTATCACTAATGCCTCATTATACACTTTCACCCAAAATGAATGCAACCACAACTGGATTTGGCCGTATAAAAAAAGTGGTTTGGCTGATTCTCTTTTTGCTTCCGTGGTTGCCTAAAACGCACCATTACGTTTCCCTGATTAGTTGTTGGCTTGGCGTAGTCCTAAGAAAGTGTCCCAGTCTTTATGACGTCCGTTCGGCCAAATGACATACTAAGCTTAGTTTTGGTGATTAAAAAAGACTTTTAATCTCTGACGACATCCATCAATAATTTATTAGTGTTGCTGGACGGTGAGCCGAGGTCTTCTTGGCACAATTCATCAGCTACAACACCAGCGCAGTCCTCCGGCGTTCGGCGAGGCCAAATTAAGTAGCCCTCTCAAACAAAATGAAAGTTTCTGAGAGTTTTCGAAACCCAGCTCTTTTTCATATACAAGAAGTAGGGTTGGACTGCGACCGGCGACCAATCTTGGCATCGTGTCTGATAAATTTGGTAAAAAAATACTTTCCTCTCTGAAGATGCCTGTCAGAGTGGAAGAGACGAGGGCCTTCTTGTAGTCTTGTTTGCGCCGGCGGAAGGGACCACGGCAGGCCGCAGGTGACGAAGTTCTGAGCCTCGATATTGGTTCGGTGCGTTGTCGCTTTGCTCAACTCAACAGTTCTCTCAGGTCTCCACAATCACACGCAAGCACACACACAAACACAATGGGGATATCCAGACGACAGAAATATGCAAGCAGGCAGGCACACGCAAATGGAAGTAGAAAGAGACGCACTCACAGGCTGCACTCAGGAGAGGAGACACCTAGTCACGGAGGCACCCGAAAGAGGTGAGACAAACAAAGGCACAGACAAAGAGTGAGGACAGTCAGCTAGTCAGCCAGTCTGAGCAGAGACATACACACGGACCGAGTAGGACTTAATGGTCGCGTGGCTAAGGCCATTTTGTCAGTCCAGGACTGGCCGCCTCGACGTCTCTGTCGGTCTCCGGCCTGCCCGCTTGGCTCCGGCCGAGAAGAGCCCGTCTGAATGGATAGACGGTCGGTCAGACGACGAGGACGGCCTCCAATCGCCTGCAAGTGGAAGTCTCCGCCTCTCGACTGCCAGACAAGAGGAGAGGAGGCCAGGCGAGCAGCCGAAGCCGGAGCAGAGGGGGCGAGACACTGAGGGGGTCAGGGGCGGTAGTGACCAGGCCGAAGAGGAGAGACCGGTAAGCAAGGTGGAGCTAGAGGGAGAGGGAGGCTGGTGCGAGCAGACGAAGGTCCATTTGAGCAGGCCGCCAACGATGGGGCGAGCGAGCAGATAAAGTGGCCGAACGTCAACTGGGCGCATCAGAGAGAGGAGGTTACGTGGGTTGGAACGGGATCGAAGAGCGGCTGAGCAAATCGGCCCTCATCCCAATGCGATGGATCGATACACGCCGAGACGGATCCGTTAGACACGTGCTCAGGTGTTTTCACGTGAGGGTAGTCAGTGTCGATTAACCGCTCGCAGGCAGACGAGCTCTATGCCCGGCGCCTATACACCTCCACCTCGTCCTCATCGTCGCCGCCGTCCCACTCAGACCGTCCTGCCGTCAGACGCCGCGGGCCCCCGGCCCCAGCGCGCCCCACGGCCGGGACTCTGACTTGTGCTCGCCTCTGATCCCCCCGCGGATGTCCTGGCACCGCTTGTCCTATCTGCGGCCGTCGCGAGGCTCCGCCCCTCTCCCCCCCACCAGCTGCTGGCTTGGCCTGCCCCTCGGCCCGGTCGTCGGCCGGCCGGAGCCCGCGGCAGCCGGTCCGTGCCGGCCTACCGGCCGTCCGGTGGCCGGACGGCCCCGAGGCCCGACGGCCTGACGGGGGACCAATCAGACGAGACGGGTGCGCCGGGCTTCGCGTGGCCCACTCGACAGCGCAGGCAGCCCGAGGCAGGCGCGCAGGAGGTCGTGACGAGCGGAAAAATGCGAGCCTGCGGCAAGAAGTGGACTCTCAGTCTGACCACCAGCTGCTCGGCCTGCCTGGGCCTCGTCCTCCTGCTCGTCGCGCTCATCACTGACTGCTGGCTCTACACGGTGGAGCGGGAATCGAGCGAAACGGACAATGGCACCTCCCTAATCATCGTCCACTCGGGCCTCTGGAGGTACTGTCAGAAGCGCGAGTTCTTGCCTGGAGTGTCGAAAAGAGCAAAATGGGATGAAGACTGGCGTAAGAGTTACGGCCTTGACTGTTTCTCATTTTTAGACAAATACAGTATCGAGGAAAGAAGGGAGCACAAATCACCTTTAAGGCCGAGGGTCGAACTAGCCGTCTCGTCTCATCCGCGCTCCGGCGGGATTCGAATCGTGGACGAGTGTGCCGAGAGGCAGACAAATTTGTTACCAATTTAGAAGAGCCCATTCTCGTTGACCTACACGACAAGGGCAACACCCAAAACAAGAAAAGCCTATCTAAAGTGTCATAATAAGCCCACATGCTGCTGATTTTGTCGCTAATAGCAGTAAGGTTAATGCATGAATCAGTGAGTTCATTTTTAAAATGTCACAGCCTCTGAATAAGAACTTAGTCAGCCTAGGTCGTTTGAAATGGTGTACGGGTCACAGGGCAGATGAGAATTTCAAAGCTTAGCGATGCGGTTGACATGCATTTTCCGTTACTAACGGCGAAATTACTTATCATTGGTGGATACGAATTTTATCACAGAGCCTACTCATAATGAATATTTATAAGTAGGCTTTCGAGTAATGTAGACGAGTACTATAGCAAATACAACTTTGCTTAATACTGGCGTAAC